CCACTTCTTTAGCAATGCTGAGATGTTGCTCGTGGTACTTTATGGCTGGTTTAAAATCGCTGAGGCCTTGATAAGCATTGGCGAGATTGCCATAGGCATGTCCTTTTCCTGCCCTGTCACTCACCTCTTCATCATTGCTGAGATGTTGTTCGTAATAGTTGATGAGTTGTCCTTCTCTTGCCCTGTTACTTACTTCTTTAGCAATATTCCGGTCATGCTCGACAGGTAGACCACAGGTATCTCGTTTACTTGTTTTGTCGCTGACTTCCTTGGCTATGTGAAGATGTCGCTGATTTGTCGTAACAGCTTTTTCGCAATTTTCGTTGCTATTACCAGCTCTTTCAAGCTGATCGTCGGCTCGTGTTTTTTTAACTGTGTAGCCTTCTTCTCTGATATTGCTTAGTCGTTGTTTCTGATGCTCTAAAATTTTCGATCCCTGTTGTTCCATTTCTGTGTTAACGGCAATGGAAGTTGTTTAGCGTTCAAGTAGTTTTATTATAGACATATTTCACAATAGATCACCAGGCCATTTCCGAAAGTAGTACAGCCTAACAGTCTAGTAACTATTGGTAAGGCTTAACAATGTAACATACTTGGAGCTCAAAACTTTGAAGTCCTGCAGCCTATACACGTTTTCTGCTGAAAACACCTTTAGTCTTTCTGGTACTTCTACACATGTAAAGTAAACACGTGTGAAAAGCGAAAGAATGTGGGGAGTAAATTGTATGCGATAAACTGAATGAGGTACAAATATGAAAAAAAACGAATAAAAAACAGGAATATGATCTAATGGGCGAGTGTCAAAGTACAAAGAATCTCTAGATATGCTAAAATAGTTATTAGAATAAAAGGTCCGCAAATTCACTACATTCCTCCGGGGAGTTGAGGGCAGGTTTGTAGTTTCGTATGTAAAACGCTTCGTACAAGCGTAGATTTGCTGGGTCGTTTTCTAGTATAATGGTCTTGACTTCGACGCTTTTGTGGACTTTGTTTTGGCACTTTGAATGTTTTTTTTTTGATTGAGGAGTCAATTATGATTGTTCAGGTGTCCCCTTACACGATCTTGAATAAAGCGAGTAGTGCTCCTGATGTAGTATTGGTTGCAGTTGTTACTCGCGATTTGATAAACAACGTTGCATAGTAAGCACAGTTTGGTACTGGAGATGGGGGAGTTGGCCCTCGTGCATATTCGCTCCGTTTCGTTTTCAGAGAGAGCTCGTCAGAGAGTGTATGACTTGTGCGTGACACGTACTGGTATACCCTCTTTTCGGAAAATGCTAGTGATCCTGTAGTTGAGTCGTTCGGAAATAAATGGGATCTTCAGGTACGACCAGTCTGTGATGAGAGGTAGGGGGTCTTTCTGATGGTTCTGGTGGTGCTTTGTTTGGTCTATATTGCCTTTAGGATACGGAGGATGTCGTCAAACATGTTTTGGTGTTTTTTGGTTGTCGTTTTTGTAAAGCATTTATTTTCGATACGTTTTCGCTCATTGCGAATGAAGTTGATCTTTGACTTTTCCGGTATTGTTGATTGGTAGAGGGCAAATACTGGTTTCTTTGCTGTTTTTCTTTTTTTTTGTAAAATTCGAAAGAGCTTTTGCCGTCTTTGGAGATGGTAACTTGAAAATCAAGTAGTGATAGTGAGAGGTCATTGGGTGTTATTTCTGGTTTCTCAATTTCAAACTTCAATTTAGGGTGTAGACTGTTCATTGTATGATGGAATTGGTCTGCCATTTCTTCACCAGCTGTCTGGAGATAAATGTCGTCAACATATCTTCTCTATGGGCTTATAGGTAGGTGTGAAGAGAGGGCGATGGTTTCCAGTCTGTCCATGAATAGGATGGCCAGAATGCCTGAGATGTTAGAAGGTAGGCCTTCTTTTTGGCGGAAAACTTGATCATTGAAGGAGAGGTACATGTTGTTTAGCGTAACTGTGAGAAGGTTTGTGATGCCCTGTTTGGCTAGGTGGAGTATTGGGTTCTGAATTCTGTCGGTGGCATTGGTAATGGCTTCTTGTATGGGTATTGAGGTGTATAAGGATACCACATCGAGGCTGCATGGATATGGTAGCGTTTTGTTGGTGGTGAAACTGCTGCCTTGGATGCATTTGATGAGCTCGAGGCTGTTTTCTAGGTGAGCTGGAATGTCCTTTAGCATTGGTTTAAGGGCTTTGGCGAGCGGCCATGACATGCACTGGGTTGGTCCACAGATGGTAGATACAGTGGGTCGTATTTTAATATCTGGACCAGTTTTGTGGTCTTGATAAGGTGGCAGAAGCTGGGGAGATCGGTGTTTGCGGTGATGAAGCTTTTCCGGACATAAGGATGGAACTCGTTCTGTAGGCAGATGTTTTTCAAAGTTGAGTTGACTTTGTCCTGGACTGTTTTGGCCAACATGCGGGGTACCTTTTGATAGGTGTTGGAGTCGCTGAGGTGAGTTAGAGCTACTTGTGTGTACGTGTCTTGCTGTATTACGCAGAATTTTGTGCCTTTATCGCTGGGGAGGCAGATGTAGTTCTTCGTTTTGAGTTCTTTGATTGCTTTCCTATCTGCGTGGCTGGGTTCGACCACTTTCTTTGGGGTTATAGTTCTTAAAGTGTGACTTGAAGTTTGTGGTGAATCCTCTGGAGTTTGTGGTGGCTCTTCTCTTTGGTCATACAAGAGTGAAGAAACGGTTCTAGTTGCCTGACAAAAGATGAGCCACACAATTCTGACGGCTCTTTGACAAAACGACTTAGAATGAAGCTGGGACAACTGCAAAGGGGCTTTTGATGTAACAGTGGAAAACTTGTTGAGCAACATAAAGACTAAAACAGTACCGAGGAAAAAGGGGAAAACAAAGATTAGGATAAATAGCTATGAAAATGAAATAGAGAACGACACTAAAGAAGAAGATTGAGAACAAAACAAATTAAAGGACTGGGAACTAAGTGCCATAACAAGACGAATATTAGGAAGAAAATAAATTTACTGAACGATCCCCGATAAAAGACTTCAAATACTTCCTATGAAGACAGATGTCGCACAAACCTAGGTGACAGGAGAGGAATATGTGATGGAAAAAAGTTCGGTAATGGAAGAGCAAAAAACTTGGAAACGGTGAAAAATAGGAGGTAGGCTGCCAATAAACATGAATAAAAGACGATGAGATAAGAAAGAGGAGTAGTGAACAGTTGCGATAGATGAAGCTGTCACAGGATGAGAAATACCAACCAGTGAAGAGATTAGGCCGGACCAGTAAAATCACAAAAGAAGAGATTAAATTGGCTGAGATCGATTAGATATGTGAAAAAAGGAAAACTAGCAAGAATAAACTCCACAACCATTGAGATGCTATAAGCAAAAGTACGCAGAATCGTACGGCACTAGCTCAGTGTACACATGAGTTATCGCAAACGTTTGGGATCAAAAGAAAAAGCTGAGACTGTGCCCTACAAACTGAACAGCGGTGAGATCATCAAATTACCTACGAAAGGTCATCTAACAGTATGTGGAAACTAGAAAGGACTAACTCGTATGTCAACAGCAGCAAAGTTTATTTATTGA